ATGTTGGTTGTAGGATGGGGTTAATCCTTATTAATGCAGTTTCTTAAATTTTTCAGCTGCTTGAGGAATCTTTGAGCTGCTTGGATTTTTGACAGAGGATTAATGTCAATAAGAAATGTGAAATCAGGACATCACAAGCCTCCTCATTCCCTGTGCTATCGCACCATGCTGCTCCCCAGAGAAGGGAGGCAAGGGGGAGAACATACACCTAAGTCTCACTAGGGGAAAAGGTTAGTTTAGATTTTTCTCTCCATATTTTTATAAATGCCTCTATCACAGCTAGTGATTCAGTTCTAGAGTGCTTTGGTTTGTATTTTGGCCATTTTAATTAATTAAATAAAATAATTAATAAAATTGGTAGATTTTGTGCCTTCTGTCTAACTGTGGATGCTTTTGAGTGTAAGCAAACAAAAGAGAGGATAGAAGCCACGTCGGAACAAAGAAGTCATTCTTTTGTGTGTTTCAAAAAAAGGAAAAGGTTGTTCATGCCTTTTTACAAATGCAACGTGCAGGTTATGTGCAACATTAGGTTCTAGCACCATTTGGTTTTTTTCCTTCAGCTTCTGGTTTTTATTCGCTGCTGATTTTCCCTACCTAAAGAAGAAACAAAAGGGCAAGGCAGCTTAAAGGAGGGAGGGAGGGAGGAAGGAATATCTGAGAAATAAGCCCCCAGTGGGGCTTAGTGGCTACCAATCTGCCTTAGTGTCATGATTTCTAGAAACATGGTGCCATCTTCTCTGCTCTTTCAGGGACTTCACTTTGTCTTCCTCCCTCCTTGGTATAGACCAAGACTATCAATTGGCTTATTTATTTTGCCTTCTTTCTGGTCTAGCTTTTTCTCTTCTATGCATTTGTGTATTAATTGCCTGGAAAGCAGCAGGTAGGATTAGGGAGCAGATTCTAGTCAAGATTAAATGTCTGAAATTGTTCAATAACTGCTGTGATAAAGGTCATGCTGGTTTATGATTTGCGTGATACTTTGGGAAGTTAGTACTGTTGATGCTGAATTCCTCAGCACACATCAAGGAGAAGTGGTTGTGAATGGGTCTGCGTATTGAGGACAGAATGGAAGTGGTCGGAAAATGTGGCTGGGGAGCTTCTGGCAGGCTAGTTCAGCCTTCCAGGTAGCAATGTTTTGGGATCACAACTCTTCCTACTCGTCAGGGAGAAAATAACTGGAAATGTAGTTTTTTTAATCTCAGAAGCCAGGATCCCCTAGGCACAAATATATATATCACATTTTCTTGTTTATATAGATTCCTGTTTAAGAGGAGTTTTCTGGCAGTACGCTTCCTGTCATTGTGTGCGGTGACAAATTGTCTGAAGAGATTTTGCGAATGTCTTTGTATAAGAAATGCAAACTTCAGAGCTGGGAGAGATTTGGACTGTACCTTATAATTATCGTATCCAGCATGTCATCTATTTAGATGTCGTTTGCTGTTTTATTGGGATATGTCAATCAAACTAGTGATTTTAAATGCTTGTCATTTCTCTCCCAAATCATGCAGGTCAGAAGTGTGTGCCACAAGCACTCAAATTTCTTATCTTTTCATGGCTGTCATGCTAAGAGGTTGCATTATGTCTGTTGTGGAATTTGGGGTGGGGTAGAGAGGAAGTGCTTAAAATTTAAGTCTGAAAAGTCAAAACTCTCTTTACCTGTTGTTTGCCCATAGAACACAAGCCTGTTTCACTTCTGGAGCTGTGGTTGTCGGTGAAGCTCACCTGTCTTTAGGTAGCAGCGACAGATGACTCGAGTGAAATGCAGCATTCCTTATGTAAGCTGCTCAGTAGATACAAAATTTAACATCTTTCAGAAACATTTACTTTTTCTGTTTGACAAACTCGCACACATTCCTTGGAATGTATTTTAGGTGCTCTGCAGAAAGCATTCCCATGGCCTGTTTGAGGCATATCCTGATATTTCCTGAAGGGTCCTAGAATATGCCAGACGTGCTTCAGAGCCGAGACAGAGCAGCCATGCTCCTGGAGAGGTTTGGCAGACAGTGTTTCCCTGTCACTGCTGGACATCGGTTCTGGCCTGCTCTGATTTACTGAGGTGGCAAAGCACTCTTCATAGATCATGAGCTTATAGCATTCATGATTTCTTAGTATTTCCAAAATGGAATTACCTTCAAGAATTATGGGAGCTAAATATCCTCTAGTTTGCTCTTTTTTCCCCCATATGGATACAATATTTCCCCCAAAACTGCTCCTCCATCTCAAATGAAGCAAAAATATGAATTCAAAGTCAGCTTCCCTAGCTCTGTGTACAGTAGTGTTAAATATTACCAAATAATAGTTGGTGATGTAAGGCTATTGAGTTCTTTGCTAGAAAAATCCGTAAGTTTACTTGTAGCAAATACGGTAACAAGGCCAGTGGTCACTTCACTCTTCTCTTTGGGCATCACTTTGGTCCTCTGGTTGTCACATGTAGAAGGGACATCACAGAGCATCAGATCAGTCCCGCTGGGGCTTCGGCTGCTTTTGGGGACTCCCCTCGGGGCCCAGGGAGTCCCAGGAGGACCTGACCTTCCTCCTGGTTTTACCAGGCACTGTGTAAGGCGGAATCTGTGTTAGGCAGAGACACTCAATAATCCGTGTCAGACTTCTGCAAACTGTCTTTTTCTGGTATATGACTTGCAAATAGGCCAGTTAATTGCATCTATAAATAATACCAGCTTCTGAGTTACACCTGACCTTACAGCCTGTACCTTCTTTCTCGTGCAGTGCTCTTCAATAGGTAAACTGAACAGGCTAAGATTTTTATTTACACTGCACGACTTTCTACCTTTATTGTAGGGAATCTTCTTGTTTCCTTAAAAGGAGAATAAGACCTGTTCATACGTTTTCTGAAGCATCCAAGTTTTTCCTGACGATTGCACATCACAGCAGTAGCTAGAGTAGCTTGGTGACCTAACAAACCAGCCCAAAGGTGCTGGTGACCCCCAGGCAATACAGTCGTCCTTCACTGTGGCTGCTGCCTGGGGAGAATGGGGACCATTCTGTGGGACCTGCCTGGCTTCTGCTACTAGTTCAAGTGGTAGCTGTTAAGGAAGAGCTGTGGACATCTGTGCTGTAGCCACGCAGATTATAAAAGCTCTTGTATTGTGTGAGCATCCTGCAAAGATTCCTCCTATTGATGGTGGAAGGAGGTGAAGAGAATTCCTTGAAGATCCATCAGTGTACCAAGATGCTTGAAAAAGGCTTGAACTAATTTGTCAGCTTATTAGGTTTTTAAGATATTTTCAGAGTGTTATTGCATCCTGTTCTTTTCTTTTTTTAATGGGTTGGCCTGTGGTTTTTTGGTTTTTACTTAAGATCTTCAGAAGCTCTAATGTATCTTAACACGTCTTCCCCACTTTTTCCTAGATAAAGTTATAGAGATCCTTTCATCTCCTCAGCTCTGGAAACACATTCCTTTCCTTCTACATCAGCCATGTAATCTGCCCATCCTGCTTTTATGGTTAAAGATGATCTTGTTAAAGATTGCATGAGTGGATGTGAAGCGGTGTGCATGGGTGAGTTGGAGTCTTCTGTTCTTGTTTTGTTGAATGCTCTTGGACTCTCTCTGCCCCCTTCCCAGAGATTTCTGCAACCTCTGATTTACTGGGCATCTGTGATAGGACTGTACTTTGAGCAGTTTATAATACAGAATTCATTCCATACTCTCCTCACTGTGCTGCTGTCTGAAATTATTGCTGTGTACCTGGCTGTGGTGTAGTGTAGACTAGTTTACCTTAAATCAGGTGGTTGAAGTCAAAAAGTTACCGGATTGCAGTAATGTGGAGCTGCAGCTGATTGCAAAAACAGCCTGAAGGGAGGGTTAAAATAGTGTTTTGCATCAGTCCTTGCTACCAGTACCTAGGTTAGCCAGACTGTATCTATTTCAGATACGTGTACATTGCACTTGCAGTGTGGCTGTAGTGGAGATGTACTCTCTGACTCTGAACATGCAGTACATTCCTTTTTTCATTTCTATAACATAGTGGGATTGATTTTGATCCAGAACGTCCCTGCTACTGTTTTGATATGATTGAATGAACAGATTTCTCATGATACTAACATATTTTCCAGCAGTGATCTTGATATACTCAGAAATGGTCCCATATGAAAGTTATATAAATATTTCTGTAGTTTCTTTTGCTAATTGTTTCCTTCTATCTGGCCAGCGTACTAATTGTTTCTAGAAAGGACAAATTTTTAGTAGCTGCTGTGTTTTTCTGTTGAGGGTGTAATTAGGATAATGTATTCCCATAATGACACAGTTAAGAAGGCCTTGTTCTCTCTTTTGTGAGTGATTTTGGATAGACCACAACTGTTTGGTTTGGCAAGGATGTCTCTAGAACCATTTATATGTTAATGAATGCAGAAGAAAACACCTACATCTGTACTGAATTTCCATTCTCTGTAAACCAAGTGCTGCCTCGTGATCCACTGAACTGCTTCCTTTCCTGCCCGTGTTACGATGGCTGCTGCATGTGTGCACGACCAGGGCAGAAGCAGCCGTGAGCGCAGATAACCCCAGCCTTGCCTTCCACACGCGCTTGCCTGCTGCCTTCACACCTGCCCAGAGCAGCGCACCGATATGTAATGAACCACATGAAGGCAGCTCTGCACCCCTTCCTCGCACGCTCGTGTAGACAGCACATAAATTGGCTTGTGCTTACAAAGCTGGAAGTAAAACCGCCTAAACTCTGGTTGCAATTTACAACTTATTGTAGCTAAATTAACAACCAAACAATAGTGTGGAAGTTCTAAATTGCTGAGTGGAAGTGGTTGCCAGGCTCACGGCTTGAGTGTTTTGAGTGTCCTCATGTCACAAATTCTGACAGATTTGTTCCACTGTGGGCGTCTTTGGGTAAAAGTACAATCTTCCACGTTACTGTATTGCTGGTGAAAATGTAGAATCGGCACTTAGGTATGGATTCTCTCAACCTCCCTGCAGAAATTACCCTTCCAGACTTCAGGAGTTAATTTCTCTCTCATTTTGGTTTTCTCAGGTTCTCAAAGCCGGCACCAATGTTCTTGGATGATTCCTTCAGGAAATGGGCACGTATCAGGGACTTTGTACCCCCCTTTGGAATTAAAGGACAAGGTATGAGAAAACTGTACAGTTGTTGGAAAAGAAGGTCGTTGTGCAGATGCTTGCCACATCTTGGTTTTCTGTTTCGAAAGCCTCAGGTGTTCCCTTGGGCTCAGCTTTTTTCTGTGTTCTGGAGAAACATTGTACATAGAGCTCTAAAGCTCAAAAGGGTTTTCACGGGTGGAACGTGGACCTCAGAGGCTTGTCTTAGGGAGGATGGCTTAGCACACGGGGAGGGTCAGTGCAACAACAGCAGTTTAGATGTACCATCACATTCTGGAAGAAGCATTTGAACATTGTCCAAACTGATTTAAAGTACCTTGAAGTCAGTAATTCTCTAAAGAACAGGAAGGACTCCTCTTTCTGAATTTTGGAGCCTTGGGCTTGACCACTGATACAATTCTGCATTTTCTTTTCATAGCTTTTGATTGTATAACTATTTGATAGTTGTGCTACTTGTGGACTTGTATTACAAATAGGAAAAATCTGTTCAGATGCTTTGGTGGTGATTTGTAATATGCCCTCTCCTTCAGCTGAAGTGTGGCAGCAAAGGCTGCATCTCAGGTATGCCATGGGAGAGCAAGAGTGGTGCTGGTGGTGATGAGATGGGAGTCAGCAGCCCACCCAGCAAATGGTACATTTTGCGGGTGACATAAGCGCCTTGCTATCCCGCATGTGCCACCAAAGGCCTCTGTGGGGGAGCGGTGGTGGAGCAAAAGGGTTGTGCTCAGAACAGTGTTTTGCTGCAGACTTCCTGAAGTCTGATGCATATATTAGGAAGTGCTTGTAGCATTGGATCAACTTCCATGATTTTTTTTCCCCTGACACACTCACGATTACAGATGGCCTCCAGAGGAATTGAAATACCTGGGGGCAGAAAGCCCTGCAGCCATAATAGCCTTGGGTCTGTCCCTCTCCCTGGAAGCAGATGTGGTAGTTGTCAGAACAATCTCTGATCAAATCAAAGGCTCTACTGACAAATTTCTTTTGTCTTGTATCAGTTCCTTTCTTTGTTTTGTATATGTCCATTCCTTGTCCACTCAGTCTTTTGCAGCTCAATAGGCAACTAATTACTGTCCTCTAAATCAGCCGGCAGTTTGCAGCAAAGAAATAGCAGCGGCAGCACAAGTGGAAGGCTGCGTTGACCCCAGGAGGGCTTGTCCGCTTCTAACAGGCACACAAAGTGTACAGAGGTAGGGCAAGCTGCCTGACCAACGTGGAGGTGGGATTTGCAGATTACACATGACGTCAGCTAGACCGAATAAAAATCATTCCGTTAAACTGAGTCCAAATGGAGAAATGCACCGAAAGGGGATGACGGAACGGCTCTGGCAGCCTGCTCCCTGGGTTTGTTGCCAGCTTGTATCACCACTGCAATGTTATGTAAATCTGGTGTTTTATACTGGATTTCCTCAGTTTAAAAGAGAAATGAGAAATTGCCATTATTTAAATGGCTGCGAGCTGAAGCTATGGGACGGAAATCGTTGAATGGGTTATTTTTTTAATGCCCTCCTGGGACTGAATTTTATGCCAAGTTTCAGTCTGGAGCAAGTTCTGTGTGTGGGAGGGTTGACTTATAAATCTCTGCAGCCCAGGATTTCTAATGGCTGTGCTGACAGGCTGTGAGTCCTAGCGATGCGAATGGCGCCCTTTCATGTTACACATCAGTTGGAATTCTTGCATCAGTCTTTTCTGGCCGTCCCACGGGACGCGTTCGGGCTCGGCTGAGTGATTGGATGATGGGATCAGCACCTCATTAGGGCTTTCAGTCAGGACAATCTAATGATATCCAAACAACTGACCCAGGCAGGCAACGTGGAGCTGAGTCACGTGCTGGTGCGAGATGAAGACTATCAGAGCTGGGATATGCATGGGAAAAAGAGTATTTGGGGTGGCTGAGAAGGCGTAGAGAGACGTGCCTGTGTTGAAACAGATGGGGCAGGAGTTTTGCTCTGTGCGTTAGGAAGCCCTGTGACACCACCAGCTGGGATTTCCGACATGCATCACACTGGGAAAGGCGGTCGGTGTTTACAAACACTGACTGTAGCTGGGTTGGTAATGGGAAGATTTTGCTGAGAACTTCAATGAACATCAGCCAGCATTTTCAAGTCCCTGTGATCTAGTCCAAGTGCAAAATGGCTTTTTTTGCGTGTGGAGTATAGCTACAGGATGAGCTCACTTTCAGTAATGCACCGTGTTCCAAGAAACTTCTAGAAACTAATCTGTGGTAGCTTGAAAATACTGAAGTTATGAAATCAAGAGATTCTTAGCAGCTTGGAGGCTAATCCACAGTTTCTGCTTTCTCTTGTGAAAAGTTTCTCTCTATTCTTCAGAGTCTTCGCGAAGTTTTTCTTTGCTTTGTGGCTGAAAAAAAATGAAAGAATTCTTTTTTCATCCATCACTTGGTATTTACTGGTCCAAGAAAGAACAATTCCAAGATTGCAAGAACAAGTCTTGCAATCTTTAGGGAAAAGCAGCTGTTGAGGAGCATTGTCTACTGAGCTGCACTAATTTGGAGTAACACGTCTGTATACGTCATATGGAAAAGAGTAGAAATGGCTCAGAAATTTTCAGGGTGGGACTACCGCTCTTTAAAGGTGAACATGTCAAGGAGAAGACAGTGTGCTGATCGTTTTGACACAGTTCATCAGGGATCTTCATTTTCTTCAAAAAGAATCTGATTGTAAAGACGGTTCTTCCATCTCCAGATGCTAAAAAGTACTCTGTATAACATAGAAAGCTTAGCTGTGTTTCTTCTTGAAAGAACGCTTGCTCCTTTTCTCCATTGGGCATTTTCTGATTTGGCCATTAGCTCACGCAAAAGGGTTTTATGGCCAGAGTGCTCCACTCTGCAAGAGCATTTGCGTGTAGAAGCCCTCAAGGTGAATGTGGTTCTGAATATGGAAGTTTTTAGATGCTTCTTCTGAAATGTACAATTGCAGTAGAAATAACGCACATCTCATGTCGGACTGGAAACTGCTGCTTTCGTTAGTTAACCACCTCAGTGATTAGTTGTCTGCTAAATGAAAGCAGCACAGGAATAAGCAGGTGGTGACCCTGCTGCTTTATGAACAGGACTTTCTGAGATTGGGCACACGGTAGGAAGTCTTGTGCAAACTCTTTTTGAACAGTGGTCTCTGTGTCCTCTACAAGGTATTAGAAACAGATGAAGAGGAGTTTGAAGAGCAGTTTTAGCTTTTTCTTTAACTGTCTTAAATGGGCAGAGAGTTCTAGTACATGTTGTACTTGTTGACTCTGCCTCTGTTCACCAAAGATTGGGACTAAGGACTGATCCAAATTACTTGATCCCCATCTCCAGCGACATGGGACAAAAGCGGAGCTGAGAACTGTCAGGAGAGCTGGAGCTGATACAGCAGACTGAACCTGTCATTGCATTCATCACAGATGTCTGTAGTGCTTCGTGGGAACTCCTGCTTTCTCTGTGTGCAGAGGATAGGGAAAATGATAGATATGTCATATTTCTGAAAAGGTGTAAGTGTATTTACTCATAGGTTTTAATACTACAAAGGGTCACTACAAATATCTAGGTTGGGTCACTACAAATATCCAGGTTGGCCTTTTGTGTAACTGTGGCTCTGGGTTTCACTCAGTGACTTCTGCAGCTGGCTATGAATGTGTGAGGTTATCTTTCAGAATCTAAATGAAGATTTTCTAAATGGTGAAGAACGACCCCATTGTTGAACAGGCAAGTGTCATATTTGACTGTGCTTACATTAAAAACTGAGACTGTTAGTGCCATGTTGAGCTTTGTTGTCTCCCTCTATGTGACTTGACAGACTCTGGAAATGGATGCGCCAATGTGAGTGCTTGGAAATGCTGATTCCATCTCTATTAATAAATAAAACGGTTGTCCTGTGGTCCTGAAGGTGGTTGAGCTCATTGTTCAAACAGGTCAACTGCCCGCTCTCCCGGCTTCCCCCCCCCCCCCCCCCAAGAGGGTGGCTATACGCAGGCTTCCTGTCAAGAAGGGTCACTGCCCTGTATTAGCCTGGGACCCTGTGAATGCGTGAGAATTATGGGGGAATATATTTGTTGGCGCTGGTGAATACCATTGGGGAACTGTGCTAACACTTTAATAAGTATGGGCTCGTGTAGGACAGTGTGCCCTGCTGCCGATTTGTTTAGTAGTGTGTATATAGCCACAGTGAGGGGTGTCATTCAGGAACACAATGGAATTAGTCAACTTCAAGAGCTGTTGAGAAGATCAAACTATAACAAGAAATTGGAACTTTAAAAGCTACAAATGTCAAGATGTCCTGTGGGCGACAGCTCGGGCTGCCGAGCACCCTCCTGCGTCCCAGGCTATTGTTTCAGCATTAACTGGGATGTTGGAGTGCCTCCCACGTTTCACCATTTGCAAGGGTCTAATTTGCTTGTAGGAATTCTTCTTTCCCAGCACGCTCCAAGCCTGCTTTTGCAGCTTTTTCAGTGAAGAGCAAGGAGACTGTAGCAATCTCAGGCTCTTAAACAAGTTACATGGAGATTTTTTTTTTTTAATTGAAATTGAAATTTCTTCTAGCAGTGCTTCTGTCACTGTAACTTACGGAGGTATGAATATGCACATGCTGTCTGTATTGTTGCAGAGATCCTCTAGCATGTGCACTGCTTTCAGGGTTAAATTCGTCAATGAATAAGCAATGGAAAAATTGTTTATAGTGTTACTGAGATTATTAATCCCAGAGGGCCTCCTCCCCAAATTTACCTCTGTAGCTAAAGCAAAAGGAAAGAGTTATTTGGAGAAGGGCAACAGACAAGACTGGAGAAATACCTGACTATTAATAGAATTTCTCAGCACATGTGGCTTAAAGAATATAAAAGGCTTTCATAAGAAAGAGTAGCTAGTATCTGGCATCCTCTCTGTGTAATGAGGACTGGAGACTTACTGCAGGGTTTTTTTTAACTTAAATGAAAACATAAGGCACACGATACACTAAAAAACTAAACAGACATGATCCATATAATATCTCTTCCATGCATTTAGTCAGTAATTG